AATGTATAGGTGACAAACAGAAATATAAAAATCAGAACCTGCATTTGAGGATTATTGGTGAGTCCCAGAAGTATGAATGTAGTTAATGATGTATGGTTTCTCATCTCTGACTCTCACTTTTCAATTTTGTCACAAACCCAGAGGACATGGAACTGAGAACGTTTGTGTAAGATCTCATAGACAATGGCTGGAAAATCCAATTCTGCCATGAGTAGTCATTTTCTTCTTCTTCTTGAAATATGATTGTTGTCAAAAATCCCTATTGACAAGCATTGTATGTCTCATGAAGAGAATGCTTCTCTTTAATATTGGTTTCACTATGTTATAGTTCACATACTTATTGCTTTTGCACTTTCTCATACATTTTTTAAATTTCTCTAGTATCCTTCTTTTCCCCCTAAAATGAATTAAGATATAAGACTAGGAAAGACCTTTCATGATATATAATTTGATGAGTTTTATAATGTTGTTTTGTTCCCAGTGGTTCTTCAACTACTCATAAGTTAAATCCAATGACTGTATTGTTGTGAAATTCCTGTTTAATGGGAAAGAAAGCAATGACAGACAGTCTGAAGTGATGTGCAAAGTGTTTGGATGTTATCTTTCATTGTTATGATTAAAGAGGTTTGTGTAAGTCAGATTTCCATCACTAAAAAATTTACCTGAGATAATCAATGTAAAAGAAAAATTGTCCTTTCTTTTACATTGATTATCTGAGGTAAATTCACTCTTAAAATCAGTGTTTATAGCCGTAGAATTATTGTCATCAACTTAAGTATACATCTATGTGCCTTACAGTTACATGTATCAAATTATCACCCTGTACTCCCATATATTTGAATAATTAAAATAATAATTAAAAAGGAAAAATCTATGTGCAGTTAATTCTGGTATTAACTTTTTGTGTATCTTTAAAGGGTATTAGTGATCTTATATTCTAGGACAATTGATAAGATATATATGTCCTATTAAAATAAACTCATTAAGAAAATTACTGTGTAACCTCTACTCAGGTCAAATATGGAAAAATAGTGAAAACCCCAGAAGTTGCTTCTTTGTTTCTTAATTACTACTACCTTCTTTCTTCTCTCTTGAACTAACCCATATCCTGATTTATTTTTTTCCTTTAACCTTTCCATTTATGCATGTGTTCTTAAACATTTTTCAAATATACATAAAGAGGAAAGCAGAATGGTAACTACCAGGTCCTTGGGGGAAGTAAAAAGGAGCAATTGTTCTTATTTAACAAATAATAGTATTTTAGTTTTACAGGATAAAAAGAGTCTGGAGAGCTCTTTCACAACAATGAAATATAACACTACTGATATCTACCCTCAGCATTAATTTATTCTTCTCTGTCTTAAAGTGCAAGAAGTCAAAGATTTATAATTCTTTTCTGGGTCAATACCTATCCTGTATCTGGTGTTCTTAAAAAAACTGATTATAGCAGTTGCTTAAATATTTCCTCTCTTTAACCTAGACAGCTTTGTGATATTTTTAATATCATAAAGTTAAAAACATTTACCTTGGAATCTTGATGGGATTGTGACAGAAAGTTTCATGGGTTGTTTTAAAATTTTCTTTTCTACTAAGTGTAATGAAGGCAGAGATCATTTAATTGTTCCTAGTTCCATAGATTAGCCTAAACGGGATTTAGAAAACAAAACCATAAGAAGAGATTACAGCTTGCCTCAAAGTTAGACCCCCACCTTGACACCATGGCAAGGATCACAAAGGACAAATGCAGCACATGGTAGAGAAATGGGCTGCACCTGCAGCCAGGTGCCTTGACTCCATTCCCCTCACCCCAGCTCACTCCAGGCACACCGTTCAGTCTCTCTACCTAGGATTGTATCTTTTCATTCAAAAACATCACTGATTCCTTTAAGTCATTAATAATTCATGTACTTGAGAACACTGTCATAAAATTGTCATTAAGATGCAGAGATTTAAAACTTGAGTTTAGACTTTAGAAGGCTATTAGAGGGTAGAGTCACCAATTGAAAACACAACAGCGAATAAGAAGTCAGTTGATGGAGGTAGAACTTACATATTTTATACACAGCTTTTGATGAACTAGATGATGAGATTGTGGCAGATGATGCTGAATGGTATTCTCCCAGAATTCTACTAACTTTAGACCACCTTGGTTTTATTGATACATGGAAACTTGGCATCAGACACTATCATATATCTGTCTCTTGTATTAAAAAGCTTACTTCATAAATGATATTAACTTCATTCATAAAGTATCAAAATATCAAAATTATATTAGTTATTTTGTTGTTGATACTTTTCTCAGAAGAAAGCAACATTCTATAATTTAAAATAGGAAAATAAAAAATGATAAAGATACTTACTTTTTTATTAGTCATGGCTTCATGTGTTCATTGAATTATAAAGTAGCAATGGATGGAAAAAGTCACCAGTTATATCTCAGTGGAGGTAGGTGGGTGGGCCCCGGCCACTCATTCTTAAGAACACATCCTTTCACAGGGAGATCTGCAAAGCAATTTTCATTAAATCTTCTACCTCCCACACAACATGAGGACTTCTTGACAGAAATCCTGTCTCTTCTTGAGCCAAGGAAGTATTTTCTTTACCCTCTGTTTCTATAAGGATAAGAATAATTTAAAAGCCTAGAAGGTGTTCCCTATCCTTCCCTCCCTTTCTTCCTCTCTCTCTCTCTTCCTTTTCATTTCATTCTCCATCTCTCTCTGGGGTTCTGACTTTTCTGGGAAGAGGTAGATATTTCTAAACTGACTAAATTGACTTCATAATAAAAGCTTCAATTTTCAATTAAGTCAGGTAAACAAAAGTGTCCTTAGTGACCTTATCTACACATTAGTAATGAATCTCTAATGTAATAGGCTTTGGGGCTTGAGAGGATAATAGGCAGTGCCGGGAAAGTGTCCTCAGAGACACAGGTGTAAACATTAGCATCAGAAGCTGGCCAGGTGCACCATAGTAGCAGTCACAGGCAAATGCAACCTTAGTTTATTTTCTTTTTTACAATTGAAATAAGCACTTTATTTTTTTAAAAAAATGACAATAGAAAAGAACATTTAGCATAATAGACTATGAAGTGGCTCTGTTTTCCTTAGAAGCAAGTACAGGAGTGTTACTAAGAGTCAAGAGGCATAAGCAGTCCTGAGAGACCCAAGTGAAGCTTTTGCAAGTCTCCAGGCCACTGCCTGTCCCCCTTCCTCTTATTTATGGTATGAAAGAGCTCCTGGCCTTGTTTTGTTGTGATGACCTTTAAACACTTGATGTTTTTATTTCTAAT